TTAGACAGCTACTTTCAGACCCTTTTGATGTTCTAAATGTTTTAAAGGAGAAGCATGTTGTTTTTGGTCAGAGGATGAAACATCCAAACGCAGATTTTCATTTCTATAGGCTCCTTGGTGGAGAGGCTTCGGCTAAACCAGATAAGGCACCAGAGAGGCTGTTTATCGCACACTGTTACTTCTACTGAAAAAGCACAGGCTGCTTCTAACACTAACACGCCTCACATTTTCAGTGAGTGCCCTTGGAAAGAAAGGTTCTTAATGAGAGAGAAGAACGGGGTTCTTACAGTGGTGCTGTGCTTTACTCTGCTTTACTTCATGGTAGTGGGGGTCTTCTGTGTCCTGTCTGGGTGTCATTCAAACCTTTAACCTCGTTACACCTATTTCTCTTTTTTAATCGTGCAGAATTCATTGTCCTTGCCTCTGACCGCTCCCCCCACCTTTACCTTTCTTACCTTTGCCACCAGGGGTGCCTGCCTGCTCACCAGTCTCTCACATCCGTGATCTCCCCCACTCCATCGTGTGGTAATAGTGGCTGGAGAGGCCTCCGAGCACTGGGTAGAAAAGGCAGAGCTGGAAGGCAAGGTGGGCGGTGTGCAGTCGCTGGATCCCACACCCTAGAAAGTTGGCCCTGCCCCCGGGTACCATGGCTGCTCCCAGGGCACGGCACTTTTGTCCCAGGTTCTCTTGCTCTTCCCGTGTTTGCCATGCGCCTTCTCCCTTCTCCCCTGGCACGGCTCTTACTTTCTCCCTTTCATTCAGGAGGAGCGCAGTATGATCAAAATCACATCATCCTCAACACAGTGAACACAGAGAAGTTAACCCAAGTGTGGGAAGCCATGGTCCTGTGAGGCCAGACCAAGAACGCAGGAGTGTTTCCAGGAGCTTCTCTGACCACCAGACTGAAGAAAAATGAGACTACAGAGCTGATGGAGGAGCCCAGTGGGAAGTGGACCGAAGGCAACGACAGGGAAATGATCTTTTCAAAGGCGTCTGAGTTTGAAGCCACAAGCCTGTTGTTCTTGTTTCTTGCCTTGTATTTTCTCAGTAACTTCTTAAACAGGCTGCCCTGGTAGCAGCTTTTGGATGTAGATGTTTTAAAGCTCAAGACCACATCGTAACTTATTCCCAGTGACAGGAGGAGACAAGACCTCTGAGTGTGGACATAGATTCCCTTACCAGGAAGGATAAAGGCCCAAGTTTGTTCTTCACAAGACTTTTTGCATTGGAGAATGCTCTGATCCACTGCCTTAAACATTTTCCAGGACCATTTACTGCTGGATGGCAGAATGGGAAAGTCCTGTATACTCAGACACTAAACACTATTTTCAGTTAATTTGCAAATTTTCATGTTGGTGTCTGCTTACAAGCAGAACTGCATTATTTTAATTCTTCTGTGGGCTGCCCTCGAGTGTCAGAGTTTAGAGTTTAATGCCCTCCTTACAGCTGCTATCAGGACAGTATTATGGCGTAATTTATTAACCCTTCCTTTGCCACCTGCTAATACGGAAGCCATACTCTACATCAGACCTTTCAGCCTGCTCTCTCCGGGGCCACCATCAACCTCCGTTCTGGCAGCAGATAGGCGAAGCTCCAGGAGTGAAGGGGATGCACAGGCAGTAGGGGAACAATGGCCGTGGTACACTGCTCCAGATTCTGCTGCTCAAATAGCACATGACATTTCCAGGGACACATCTTCCCTATTTCACCCTCGTCATGACACTGGTGCTCTCGTCAGAGGCTCAACAAGGCCACTTCTGTTTCCTCTCTGGAGCCAAGGAAGGGCAGGCACGTATGCTCATCCGAATAGTTTACCTGCAGCTTAAACAGCGTGTGCACAAACAGCACCCAGCATGGCTGCCTTCTTATGTGTATATCTCTGTAGGCTTTGTGTATGTCACTGTAGTATGGTGGGGTAAGATATCCTATCAAAAGCCTGTTTGGTTTTATCTCTTGAATAAACTTATTCCTCATTAACCATGTGATGAGACCCTAGAATCAATTTAGCAGCTCTGGGACAGCCGAGAATCAGAGGGCAAGCTGCAGCACAGCAGGCTAACTGCAGGCATTTTTAGGCACTTTTTGGGCAATCCACTGCCACCTGGGAGCTCTCCGGGGCTAGAGCTGAGAACTTCTAGATAGACAAAAGTAAAGTGGCACTGGCATTTACAAATTATACACACACAGACAAGTCTCTATGTAGCCCTGACTGTCCTGGAACTCACCATGTAGACCAGGCTGGCCTCAAACTCAGAGGTCTGCATGCCTCTGCCTCCCGAATGCTGAGATTAGAAGGCATATGCCACCACATCCTGCTTTTTTGTGCAGGAACTGGAGAGATGGCTCGGCAGTTAGGACTGTTTGATGCATTTGCAGAGGACCCAGGTTCAGTTTCCAGCACTCACATGGCTGTTCATGCTGTCTATGACTCCAAATACATGGGATATGATACCCATCTGCTCTCACATATATGCAGACAAAACACTCATACATGTAAAATAAATAAATTGTTCGGAGGAAATTCTGGAGTGACTTTAGAGGGAACCCCACATCCAACCAACATAACACTAAACAGGTACCTAGTAGGAGACAAGGAGTGTAGAGTTTCTTCAAACATGTCTATGTACATGAAAGGCTACACACAAGTATCTAAGATGCAGTAATGAAGATGAGTATAAAACAGCGACATACATCTTGAACAAGATTCAAGAGTGACAGGCTTATTGGTAAGGCATGTGAGGTCAGACAACAGTAGACAGTAGCAGCGTCCATGGAAAAGCCATCAGAGGCATAACTCCATTGCTGAAGGAAGCCCAGCCTATTTGCAGTATGTTAGCCAGGTGTGGCAGCATATACCCATAATCCCAGCACTTTAGGGTTGACAGGAGGGTTAGGAGTTCAAGGCCAGCTTGTGCTACATGAGATCCTAGTCTCAGAAAATGAAACAAAATTGCGCGCGCACACACACACACATACACATGAGCAATTCCACACTTAAGGATGTGCTAAGGACAGTGAGTAGCCACTGAAAACAAGGGAGCCCGGCTTCCCATCATTTGGGATAACATCTAAGGAGGAGGTTTCAGCTGCTTCTGAGACCACAATGAGGTAGCACAGGATGGTGGGTGACTGTTAGGTTTGCATTGCTGCATTAAAACACCAACAAGAAACAAAATGGGGAGGAAGGGCTTTTTCTTACCTTATAGTCCTGTATGGGGGATTCACGACAGGAAGCTGGAGGCAGGATTGAAGCAGGGCCCCTGGCTGGCTCCTCCTGGCTGGCTCCCTTTGCTTTCTGATGCACCCCAGAACCCACCCACAATGGGCTGGGCACATTCACATCAATTCTATCAAGAAAATGTTCCACCTGCTTGCCTACCAGGTGATCAGGACATAGAAGCAGGAAAGAACTGGGTCCCGATGTCTCCTCCAACAGCACCTACCCACTTGTCCCAGGAGGTCCTAAAGTTCCACCACCTCCCAATATGTCCCATGTATGTGCTACACACACAGGTCTTTGGGAGCTGTTTCTGATCCAACCTATAGCAGCCAGTTAGGAAAATAATCACTGGTGGATTTCAGAAAGAAATGAATTCTTCATGCCGACATCCATCCATACACCACACATTTTAGAATCACACAGACATTAAGGTAAGATGGTGGGGTTTGATTTGCAAGAAGGTCCCAGGAATCTGCAAAGCTGAGTGAAAAGGCAGCGTAAGAAAACAAAAACTTCCCCCCATGACAGCGCCCCTTACCAGCAGGAAGTAGTTTGGAAAGAACAACGCCCAAATTCCCACATATTGTCTATAATTGTTTGTTATATAAAATAAATTTTAAAAAAAGAAAACAAAAACACCACATAAAGGCTGGAGAGATGTGGTTCAGTGGTTAAGAGCACTGGCTGTTCTGCCAGGGGACCTGGGTTCAATTCCCAGCACCTGCATGGCAGCTAACAATCACCTGTTAATTCCAGTTCCAGGATATGACATGCCCACTTCTGGCATCCTCAGGTACAAGGCATGTTATGTCGTGCACATACTTGTAGCCAAAATACCCATACATATGACATTAAAAAATTAATTAATTAAAACAAAACACTATGTACTTCTCATGGACTGCAGGCAGGCAAGTGTAGGGGCTGACATTTTTGTATCAAGCATTGGTAAATGATTAGCAAAAAAGGCTATATTTTAATGACACCTACAGAGAAATTCCATGAAGAAATTATTCTGTATGTTAACTTAAATAATTTTAAGGTTTTTTTTTTTTTTTTTAGAGATAAAGTATCTCTGTGTAGCTCTGGCTGTCCTGTAAGCTATTCTGTAGACCAGACTGGTCTTGAATTCACAGAGATCCATGGGCCTCTGCCTCCTAAAGTGCTGAGATTAAAGGTGTGCACTACCATTGCCTGGATATTAAAAGTATTTTTAAAAAAGATACTGGCTCAATAAAAAACATTTTAAAAATGTGTAAGATGACTCCTAGGGAAAGGCACCTAGGTGCCACCAAGCCTAAGGCCTTGAATTCTACACCCAGAACTTACATGAACAGTTCCCTGCGATCGCCACAGCACACCTGCTGGGGATAATGCTCTTGTACACTGTAAAGATTCATCACTCAGATTATTTTAATAAAACACGGATTGGCCAGTAGCTAGGCAGGAAATCTAGGCAGGGTGACCAGACAAGGAGAATTCTGGGAAGAGGAAAGGCAGAGAAAGCAAGATGAAAATGCCTTACTGAGAAAAGGTACCAAGCCACGTGACTGAATGGGTTAATTTAAGATGTAAGAGTTTGTTAGTAATAAGTCTGTCTGAGCAACAGGCCAAACAGTTGATAATTAATATAAGCATCTGTGTGCTTAATTAGTGAATAAAGGGTTATGGGACTGGATAGGACAGGAATTTCTACCCACATGCACGCTGGCACATGTGTCCGCGCGCACGCACACACGCGCGCACACGCACACACACACACACACACACACGCACACAACACTACACTAAAAAATTATTTATTTTCCTTATCATTGTGGAGGCATGTGTATGGGGAAGGCGGACAGGAAACAATTCTGTGGAGTCAGTTCTCTGCTCCCTGCTTATGTGAGTCCCTGGGATGGAACTCGGGTACCTTTATCTGCTGAGCCCTCTTACCCGTCCATATTTAGGTTTAAACATATCATGAAACTTACAATCTAACTTGGAAAAATATCTATTGGGAGCTAGATACCTAGCTCACAGGCACTCAGCCAGACAAAAGCAGTAACCTAAAGTAGCTGGCGCGCACACGTTCATTTAAATGACGTTAACCACAGTCTTCCCTCGGGCGTGGCCTCTTTCCACCTTCAGAAAGGCTTCTGGGACTTTAGAGAAGGGGAAGGTTTGTTCAATAACTGGCCGGATCTACAAAACACAAGAAGAGACCAACGGGTCAAGGAGAAGCCTGTGCTTTCCGAGGCACACAGTGTCTGTAGAGATCTGCCTGCCCAGGGGCCACAGCTCCCCCAGTCACTCCACCTCCACCTCCAATTTCACCTGCAATTTCAACTTTACTCCTCCTTACTCTCCATCCCAGTCTTGCTGCCACTCCAACTCAGCCCTGCAAGAGCTCCCTACACCCTACCTCACCCCTCACGCTGCTTGCTATTTTCATGTTTTGAAAATTCTATTGTATTTATTAGTGTGTGTGTTCTGTGTGTCTGGTGCAGGTGTGGTATGACGTATGTGACTGTGTGTCTGCTGTGTGTGTGCGTGTGGTGTATGTGTGTGCACGGGTGTGTGTGAGTAATGTGGATGTAGATGCACGTGCTGTCTGGTGCATGTAGAAATCAGAGGACAACTTTTGGGAGTCCGTTCCTTCCTTCTGCCCCTTTCGCCCTGGCTCTGGCAATCACAGGTGGCTTTGGGTTTGCCTGGCAGGCGCTGCTGCACTGAGCCGCCCCCACTGGCCCTCCCTGTCATTTTCTCACATCACGTGCTGTTCTCTCTGCTGCCTCGCGTCTGCAACCCTGCATCCCTGGCCTCCCAGCCTTTCTGTGCCCACATGCAGTGGGTTCTGAACTGCTCAGGTACCGTGAGCTCTCCCCTCAGCTGCACGTACCACAGCCAAGTACACGTCTGTCGTGTTCCTACTTGTACAGGAAGCAGCACAGGGTGGCAAAGTAGCAAGGCCCTGGCTGCATATACCTGTGTGCTCCTCTCACAGAAGTGCACACGCGCAGAGTTTGTTTTCTAGCCTTAAACACCTGCATGTATAAGCATCTGTGTATAGGTCCTATATGTCAATAATACCAACATGTAGTGCTGCTTACTAAGACACTAGAATAAAGAGCCCGCGGTAGGAAGCAGAGTCCAGTGTGAGCTCTCCGGGCCTTGAAGTTCCACTCAAAAGCACCACAATGCTTACAACGCACAGGATGAGGAACCACCAGCTCCCGCAGCTCAGTGGTGTGCGGCTACTGCTGGCTACCTTTACAGTGCAGCAGTACTAACAAAGCTGAAAGCAGGCAGCACCCTGTCTCCATGCACAAGTCCACCTGAACTCTTCCTTTCAAATGTCTAACGGAAGCAGCCGGTGTGCGCTCGACACCACTGGATTGCTTCTCACAGTTCCACTGACCGGTGTCAGCACACGCTGACCCCAAGTGACCCTTTTCCTTTGACAAGAGGAAGGCATGTTTTATGACATTCAGATGCCTCTGATGTCATTCCCTCTGAGTAACTCTCCAGGCTTCTTGGGTACCACACGCTCCTCCTCCTGAGAGTTGGAAGATTCTCCGGCATCCACAAATCACAGCAAGCTCAGATGCCCAGGAAGAGCAGGAAGTGCTCTCACTGTAGGGAGACTCCCCAAGTCACATACCTTTGGGGTACAGGTCACCCCAATCTTAAAAAACTGGAGCACTGGGCTCAGTTAATGTGCCTGAGTGTCACACCATTGCTGAAAGATATGGCAGGATGTAATTGATGTCACCACCACTGCACAGAGACTGTCATTATCATCCGCTGCTTTTCATCTCCACCCAGGAAGGAAGGGAACGATATCACAACCTGAATGCTGGCCTGCCTTCCATGGTCAGCCGAGGGATGACAAGTGCTGTGTACACGGATTCATCGTCCCCAGCACTGAGTAGGACCTCAGACCCTCGCACAACATTGCAGGGACACACTACGCGCTGCCCTGAGCGGCCTTCTCTGGTGAGACAGAGGTGGCACCGGGGCTGTTCCACGGTCCACCCGAAACCCAGATCCCACCACTCTGCTCAGAGCTGCAGGACACTGTCTAAATGAACGCCATCAAACTGGTAAACGAATGACCCACATGCACACTCCAAACACATTCTCCAGTCCTTCTTGGAACAGTGGAGTCAGACCCTGGGGTGGCGACAGAACAGTTCGGAGTAAGGTCCAGAGAGGTGTGTGCACACTCCCATGGACTGCCTGTGCCCTTTTGTTAACCCTCAGTCACCGACACTGCCGTTGACATATTCTTTCATTCTACCTTGCCCATGATGCCTCTCCCTGTAAAGCACCAGCCTAGCACAGGTACACAAAGCAGACTGCACTCCAGAACCACCCCCCCCCCCCCGGGGCAGCACAGAAGTTGCGCCTTCTGACCTGCTGACAGGGCCACCGCAGCGGGCACACTTTAATCTGACTGGGCAGGCCCTTTGTGACAAAGAGCTCAAGAGGGCTGACCATGGCATAATGAGCCATTCAGCAGTTCCCCTAAGTGACAATGAGAAACGGGGCAGAGGGCGCTTTCAAATCACAGTCAGGCAAATGCCACCGCTGGCGGAATGCGTGACAGCACAGGGAGATTAGGCGGATAATGAGACCGTGTCTGCGCACAGCCGCACACTGGACCTACAACGCTTGTGTGTCAAAGAGAAAGGGATCAGAGTTAAGCTCCACAGAGGGGGAAAGGTGAAGTACGGACATTTATGTGATGACACTGCTATGGTCCGCTTGGCACTGGGAGCCCTGTTATAAAGCAGGCAGGGGCAAAGCCACTTCCTGCTGCACAGACACCGGGGCTCACAGGTGGCTGACCGGGAGACACCCACAGCAGCAAGTGTGGGGTCTCCTGAGCGTACCTCCCCTTCCTTAGCAGGACTGGGATCTAGCACCTGCTGCCTGGCATCCCTTCTTTAACACAGGGATGACAGGAACGCCACCTTTCCTCAGTGTGACCAACCTTAGGACAGCACTGCTGTTTACCAGACACTGGGCAAGCCAGAGCCAAGTGACTACCCTACCAAACAGGATGAGGGTGGTTTTGAGTCAGTCTGTCCGTGCTCCTCACCCTCATCCTCTACAGGCGCATCCCCCAGGCACAGAAGCTGCAGATTTCAGAAGGTGAGGTACAGGATAGACTGACAGGTGCAGACACCACAGAAGATCCAAGAGCTACTGGTGGAAGTCCAACCCACAGCCATGTTAACGGGCACCAGGCCGCAGTCCCAGAGACATCTCTGGGAGTTATGTCCCAGTTTCTGTTTGGCCTGTCAGTGGAAGGAAGGAAGGATGGTAACTCCAAATCCCCATAGCTAAGAGACAGCAAAGTCAAAGGAAGGGGTGAGTTTTTTTCTAGTTGCTATTTCCTGGGCACTTCCTGTGCCCAGAAAGTGACATTAAAGCTGGAAGATGGATGCGGGACTGGAAGGGGATGGTGGATGAAGGTGTCCTCTGAGAGAGACTCCAGGAAGTACCCCTCTCCAGCTAGGGGAGAGAACGGCTTGGTATCATTCTCACGGAAACAACCTCAAGAACTTAGAAAAAAAAAAAAATCAGAAAAGTCAGGCATGACGGTCACACATGTGACCCCAGAGCCAGGGACTAGATTTGGAAGCAATGTGAGTTCTGGGACAGCCTGAACTATACGGTGAGACCTACAGCCCTGTTTTAAACGGAACAAAAAGGAAAAGGAGAAAATGTGAAAGAATTCAGAAGCATCAAGGCTACAAGATGAGATGCTGGAATACCAGGCAGGCGGACCCTCCTCTACTGGTCTCATGATCCAACCTCAAACCGCCACGGTCTTCCTATGGAGCAGGACCCCAAAGGGGCTGGAAATCATCTACCTCAGAAGCCAACGCATCCCTTTCAAAGCTGTATGTCTAATATGGTGGCCTCTAAACATGTGACTAGTTAACATTTCATCAAGCGAGTAACCAAATGGAAAGTCAGTCCCCAGTGGCATTAGCCACTTTTCTAATACTCAACAGTCACAAAGGGTTTAGTGGCTGGCTGCCTGCAGACCACGTGGACAGCCATTTCCAACTCGGCAGTAAGCTCTGCTGGACAATGCTGATGAGGAGGTAACTACTGACAGCAGACACATGAAACGGAGCACTAGAGGGTCCTCAGTGAGCACTGTACACCCCAGTTCACAGGCGCTCTGCTGATGGCAGCGAAAATAAGAAACAGGAAACTCTGGCAAGACCACGGCACTCCCAACCAAGCGTCAGTGGTCAACTAGAATTCTGGAGAGACCCATGAACATTAACCACATGACATCAAAGGGCTTCAAAAACTTCATGAAAGTCGGGCAGTGGTGGCACATGCCTTTAATCCCAGCACTCAGGAGGCAGAGGCAGGCTGATCTCTGTGAGTTTGAGCCCAGCCTGCTTTATAAGAGTTCCAAGATAGGCTCCAAAGCCATAGAGAAACCCTGTCTCAAAATAAAAAAACAAAACAAAACAAAAACAAAAAACAAAAAACAAAAACTTCATGAAGAAGCCAGGCAGATGGTGTGTACCTTTAATCCTAGCACTCAGGCTGCTGAATCCCCATGAATTCAATGCCAGCCAGATCCACACAGTGACTTCCAGGAAAGCCAGGACTATATTGAGAGACCCTGTCTCAAACTCAAAAACCAAACAAAATATTGTGCAAAGAATATATTAAAAGGGGCTGTGTATGGTGCACGCCTTTAATCTATGTGAATTTGACACCAACTGGTCTACATAGAGTTCTAGGCCAGTCAGAGCTACATATCAAGACCTCATCTCAGTCACTCAATCAATAGGAACTAAGTAGGTGACGAACACCTGTTAGCCCAGCCACTCAAGAGGATCACTTGAGCTTAGGAGCTCAAGGCTAGCAGGTATTTGTTTTTTAAATAAAAATATGAAAACGATAAGGAAATAAAACATCTTCCTTCGATACTTGGTCTCCATCTAGTTTCCTTCTTCAAGAGCAACCAGTTTCCAAGGTCCTTGTGCATTAGATCAGACAGAATACTGGCCCTACCCAAACACTGACATCCCAATTCCCTAAGCCTGTGACAATAAGTGGCAAAAGTCTTTGCAGATGTGATTAGGTTAAGGTGCCCAAAGCAGACCACCTTGAGTCAACTAAGTAGAATCATAGAGTCCTTAGAATAAGGCAGGTCTCAGAATGCCCATGGCTGCTAAACACTGAAGGCAAGCAAACAAATTATGACCTCCAGGAGGAACACAGATCTGCCAGACCATTTCACACTACTGACTTTCAAGATTATAAAATAATAAGTGTTTATGGTAGCTTATTTCAATCAGAAGCTAACATGCGTGCATACATAAGCAAATGTAAATAGATATTCCCCCACTAACACCAGTTTTTTTTTTTTTTTTTGTTTTGTTTTGTTTTTTTTAACCAGCGGCTGCCTATTGACTGTAGACAGGTACCAAGGTTTCTCTTTCTAAACTATATTAACCAATGGTATAAACACAGCTTACTTTTTGCTATAGCTTTTTCATTTCCAACCCAGAACAGTTTGCTAAATAGTGTAAAAACAGGAAATGCCCATTGTGCTTAGGAGAATGGCAGGGAGCTGCAGGCCCAGGCAGGGAGCCCATTACACTCAGTGCTCTAGCAACCACGATCCTTTGATCCATCAAACTGGTTTCCACACTGGTTTCCAGCCTGGGCAGCAGTTGCACAGACAGGAAACACTAGCAGGAAAGGCTGGCTGCTCCCTGCCATTCTGCCACGGGCACAGGGCTCCTCTCTGCCTTTTCTATATATGACCAGTTTCTATGGTTACAGTTTCTATGGTTAACTGTGTGCCTAGGAAAAGGATCAAGACACTTCCCTCTGCTTTTTCTACTCCTTTATGGTTAGGAAACTACAACTCCTCTCTGTCTGTTCTAAAGACAGGGTCTCATATTACAGCCTAGGCTGGTTTTGAACTTGGGGCAGCTGTCCTACCTGGCACTGAGGGAGGAATGAATTTCCATATCACTGCTTAGCAAACTTCAGTAATGGACTAAATAGGGAACAATGTTGTGAGCCACACATGATAGAGTTTTTGTTGTGTGTTGTGTTGTTTTGGCAGCTGGAGGGATGGCTCAGCTGTTAGAGAGCACTGGCTCTTCTTCCAGAGGACGCAGGTTCAATTCCCAATACCAACTGGGGTGCTCACAACCGTCTTTAGCTCTAATTCCAGGGAACCTGATGCCCTCTTCTGGCCTGCACAGGTACCAGGCACACAAGTGGTACACAGATATGCATGCAGGCAAAACCAAGACTCACAAAAATAAAATAAAACATCACCTAAAGATTCATTACAAATGTAAAACCTGGGGCTGGAGAGATGGCTCAGTAGGTAAAAGTAGGCACAGTCACAAGGACCTGAGTTCAGAACTCAGTCACCTGTTAAAAAGCTGGGCACGATAACAGGCATCTGTAACCCAGCTGGGGGGGGGGGGAGGAGGGGGGAGGCATGAGGAGGCAGAGAAGTAGCTGGAGTGCTCTGGCCAGCCAGTCTAGCTCAAGATTCAGTGAGAGACCCTGTCTCAAAAAATAAGGTGGAGAGGAAGACCCTCAATTTTTATCTCTGGTCGTCACATGCACATATACACACACAGGAGCATGTATACTTGCACACATATGAACACATACATATACCACACATGCACGCACACACACAGGAGCATGTATACCTGCACACATATGAATACACACATACACGCATGCGCACATACACACACACACATGCACACATACACAGGAGCATGCATACCTGTATACATATGAACATACACACACACACTATACACGTACAAATAAATTATAAACATTTTAAAATGCTTTTAAAATATAAAAGCCATTCTTAGTTCAAGGGGCATACAAAATAGGCCTAAGATTGGATTTAGCTTACTGACTATATATTGTGCCAACCCCTGGCTAAGACAATGAAAATATTATATCAGTCCTAAAATTCAGACCCAAACTGTACATGACTACAGTAAATATAAACATGAAATTCTACTATTACCAGAAAACCTCATAGTGACAGTCAAGAAGAAAGGACTGTGAGGTCCCTACATACCTGCAAATGTCTGGTCCTGTTCATCTCGGGCCTAAGAATGGTGGACACATTAAAGGCGAGGACTCTAATGCCAGAAATGTTTTCAGAAGTGACAGTGTGAGGCTAGCGCTGATATGACCGCCTCCTTACATTGTGGCATCGTAGATCTGGAGCTTCGCCATGCTTACTGGCGCACACAGGGCTCTATTAATAACACTGAAGTCAGATGCTTGTGTGTGCAGGGTTGGCTCTATGTGGGCATGCGCTAAGTGTGTTCACATGGAGGCCAGAGGTTGACAGAGGTGTCTTTCTCTATTGTTCCACCTCGTTTTGAGGCATAGTTTCTAACTGATAGAGTTCACTGATTGGCCAGACTGACTGGCCAGCAAGCCCCTGAGGGCCTCCAGCCTCTGCCTCCCCACGCTGAGGCCACAGGCATGGGGTACCATGCCTGCCTTTTTACACGGCTGTTGCTGATGCCTTGCATCAGCCACCTGAAGTCAGTCCTGATGAGAAACAAGCAAGAAGGCAAGATGACAGCGAGTAAACAGAAAGGGGCCGAGCCGGGGGCCCGGAGAAACTCCCAGCACTAACCAGGTTGTCAAAAGCTGGCTGTCTTACTATTTGTCAAAAACTCTGGGCTCACTAATTGCATTCCCATGAACTGAAATGGATATATTCATAGTTAGTACTTAAAACAAAGCTGGTTATCAACTGAAGCGTTACTGGTAAAAAGATCAAATAAATATTGGCACACCTGGGCAAAGGAATATTGGCAGCTATTTACAAAATAAGGAAGGAAGAACATTTTAATATCCTAATAGGAAATAAAATTTAAAAAGGGTATTTAAAAACAAAAAGGTGAGAAATTATTCATTACTCCTTTGTCTTCTGTTTGAATAGAATGCCTTTGGAATTTTCAAGAAACTAGTAATATTGGTTTTGTCTAACAAGCAGAACTCCTATACTTATCTAACCTAGAGCAGTTGGCTAGTCGTTTTGTGCCTTTACACCACCAAACACCAATGCACCTCCTCTCTCAGGCTCCCACCAACCAGATTCATTAAGTACTCCTTGGAGCTTTGTTATTCCTCACAGTTTCCCAGTATGCAAAGACAGTGACCTCTCACATTCAGATCATGGCAGGGACATGAAAAGACACCTGGCCTCATTGTACCCAGAGTCACCTATGGGCTTATACAGGCCCAGAGCGCTTCACTGTCAAAAACAGCTCCCAAGTCCAACAGCCTGAGCAGTAAAACGAGAGTTCTCTCTGGTCCTCCTTCAGGTTCACTACAGGGGCATCTTTCTCCCATGTCCCTTGTGAGCTCTTCTACTGGTTACTTGCCAAATTTAATTGGTACATATATACAACTCACCTCTCATCTCTGTTGGGTAAATAGCAATTTCCAAGTAAAGACCAGGCCATAATATTTTGAATACAAGGGAGTGTGACAAGCATTTGGCAGCATAAGCAGACACCGGGACAAACACTGTCATGTGTGCACGCTAGAGGAAGGACAGTGTGATCACAGGGCCCAACCTCGTGAAACCCTCACTCACTTAGTGATAGCTCTGCTCTTTGTGGCAGTAAAGGCAGCATGCCTGTGGGATGTGGGAAAAGCCCATAAACATAAAACTCGAGTCTGTTCTACTCAGGACACAAGACTGAGAAGTCCATGAAAAGGTTCACAAACTTGAAAACAAAAATAGTTCCTACTAATCCAGGCTTTCATAGACCATACAGTTCTTAAGAGAACTGGACAAACAAACAAGCCTTGAATGTTTAAAAAAAACAAAAAACAAAAACAAAACAAAAACAAAAAAAAAAAAAAAAAAAAAAAACGGCCACTAAGGATCTGGGGTAGAGGGGAGGTGGGAGAGAATTCTTAAAAAGCGACCGAAGGCGGTAATCTGGGGAGCCTTTTACCCTCTCCCAGGAGCCCAGGAAAGCCTTTTAATACCCCAAAAGAGAGAACTAAAACTCTAGAAATGTTCATTTTCTATGAAGTATCCTACAGGACAGCCACCAGCAGTCAGGGAACATCAACTGCTTGCCTCTGCTCAAGCCTCCATCAATGCTCACACATACCTGCATTCTTCTGAGATATATCTGTATTCTGGTACACACTAACCTTGGAATGGAGGCCTGAGGAATCACTTCTCACCCAGGTGTTAGGGGATTGAGATTCAATACTGTTCTCCCTTTTATCTGTTAAGTGGCTAGCCTTCTGGATCATCAGACTGAGGAAGCTCCAGAAGTTACTATGAAATTGCTAGCACCTTCTCCCCTTTGTGTAGTGGGTTCCATCGTTTAAAGATCATTGCCAAACACCAGTCACCCAGCTCAGCTCCCAGTTCTGCTACCTTTAGGAATATCATATAATGCCCCTCCTTGACTTGTCCCCTGATCTATAAACCAAGGGGATAGTGTAAGTGTTACAGCTCTGAAGGGAGAGGTATCCTGGCAGTAGGGAGACAAGGCGTGCCACCAAGTCACACCGCACAACAAACCTCACCGAAGACACTTATTGGGAGAGTCACAAGAGGGTGGCTGCCTCTGCTCAGGAGAAAGCAGCAGAGAACCAAGCAAGAGGCCAGCTTTATAGGGTTTCTTGAGGGAGAGCTCTGCAGGGTGGCCTGGGATTGGTGGGTTTCTGTGGAATGAACTTGGGGCAAGCTCAGGGACTAATGGGATTCTGTGTCCAGATCTTGGGCTTTTTTTTTTTTTTTTTTTTCCTGCTAGGGCAGAGCTTGTAAATGTTAGACTAGTCTGTGGGCCAGGGCCTGACCACTGGCATGCCTTGAGGAGCTTACAGGTAGATTAAACAGGGCAAGCTACTGTGCAGACAGAGCTGTTTCTCTATGAATGGCATGGTAACAGAAATAAAACACAGCACCCTCCTCACACCCCAACACTTCCTCCTGGAGGAGGACAGTCTACAACAATGTCAATAACATAGTTACCAGGAAAAGGGTTTCTGGGTGGACCTACCTTTCCTGCATCCACCAGCTCTGCAATTTCATCTAGATATGGACCACTGGCCATGAAGAAGGCCCAGCGGTAATGGACTCCTTGCCAGAAATGCTAAAAGAAGGAAAATAATCAGGGTAAGTATATAAAAAAGAAGTCTGACTAACTGCAGCTAACTAAAGGCGTTTTCTGCATGACCAGGCAAATGAACCCATTTCCCATGTTATGTTGATGCATGAGTATGTGCTCAGGACCTTAGCATGGTAACTGATGGAGGACAGATACTCCACAATGTTTAAGGAATAAGCAGATGAACACGACTTATCCATGTCAACTCGGGCATCTCCATGTTTGACTGACACAGGAAGTCTGACTGTGCCATGTGTTGGATTGCTCACCTATGAGGAATTAGTGCCTAGACCTCCAGGCATTCCCCACTAAAGTTTACAGGTGGCACCGGAACTCAGTTAAAACTGTTTTAGAACAAGAGTCACTAAAACATGCTTAGACAACAGTCAATCACTTTTTTTTTTTTTAATTTCTGATTCTGACAGGAATAAAGAAGCTTCAAAGAAAGAATATGAAATTGCTTTTACATCATGGCTGTGTCTACCCTTGGAGTTACCGTGAATCTCAGGCCACCAGATCTTTGTAGAACAAAACCTCTCAACTTGAAGATAAGCAAAAATCTAACACTGAAAGGGTTCCACCCAACTTCTGTACCCACTTATAACTGTTATTCTCTTTTGTTTTCGAGCAGGATCGCATCATGTAGACCAGACTGTACTCAACAGTGGTGCCTTCATGCAGGAGGTGAGTTAGATATTATCAAAACAGCAGTAAGCCAAGCTCCAAGACATCTCAACCTGGCCTGAGTCCTCAGAGATGGATAAGGACACTTAGTACCATGCTGCCAAATTCAATCCCTAAGCTCCTCATTAAAGAATCATGCACACACACGCACACACACACACACACACACACAAAAAAAAAAAAAAAAAAAAAAAAAAAAAGCAAAATGATGGAAGGAAGGGGAAGGAAAGGTAAAGATAGTTCGATGACAGCTGGCTAGATCCACCCAGGGAAGAAGCTGTTACTTGGAGGGCCTCTCTACTGCCTTTTCCTTGAATCTGAAGTACTAAGTCAGGTTAAGAAAAGAACATTTATCTTTTTTTTTCTTCTATCATGTATACCATTTCACCTCTAATTCAATTCCCTAGAACTATCCTAATTTATAACATGAAAATCTATCAGCTCCTGTCCCCACTGTGGGGACAGGGGGTGATGGCATTAAACAGAGAGCAGACACTGAAGGCCTACCTCAGTCCTGTAACTGAGACTATATGCACTAATTCTCAAGGCCCACCACTCCCTGGGGGCATTCAATCTGGGCACCAGACATTGCAGTCTCAGAAGCAGTGGCCTGTCAAGACAGTCAACCTGATTAATCTGAAAGCTCCAAAACTTCCATCATGTCAACAGTAGCTGGGAATATGAAATGTTGGGATAGCACAATATAGTCCCAGCAACAGCATGATGGTTCCACCAGTATTCATAGCCTCTAAGTAGAAGTACAGTTTCCTTAGGGTTCTGAACACCACAGACCTCTAAGGGTGAGAAAGCCTCAGTCTAGAAACGACTGGGTATCTACTGTCGCATGAGCGCAGCAGCAGGAAACTGCCTTAGTGAAGCCTCTACCTTATGTGCAAGGGACTGTGTCTTAAGACCGGTGAGAAAGAAAACCATTAGGGTTAGGCAGGAGGGAAACAGAAGATGTATCAGATGAATCAAGAGAAGCAGTAACACTAATCACAAGGCTGGCGTTAGCAAGAGCCTTGATACCCTAGGTCTTGTGCCACACTCTTCATGAGGATTATCTTATTTAATGCTTACAGCACTGCAGTAAATAGCAGATTAGCAAACGTACCTTACAGGAGAAGATACCATGTTTAGAGACAGTAAGTAATGTGTACAGGGTCACACAGCTACTAAACAGAGGTCAGAATGTAAACCCCGCATGTGAGTCTAGAGACCATGCTGGCAGCCACTGTGGTAAGCTGGCTCTGAGAGAAAAGAAAGTGGACAGGTGGCAGGTAAGAGGCACCTGCTCCCGCCCACCATTCAAGACTCCCTTCCTACCTTCAATGTCTTGGAACCCATGGTGACTCCTGTCTGCAACATGCCATCAGCAATGCCCAGTTGGTCCATGTTCAGGAGGAAAGGGGTCACCAGGGTCACATAGGTGGCTCCTGACCACTTCTTGAGGAAATTTAGAGCCCATGTTTCAGTAGATCCACCAACATTGTCAAGGATGAAGTCAAACCTGGAGGGAAAGAAGCAAATGAAACGCCCTGGCAGTCTACACTGGGCACAGGTCGTCTCGGCTTCGATGCCGGTTGGCTACAGGGTGTGCTCAGTGACAGCTCACGCACTGGGTGGCATTACATCATCCCACAGAGGGCTAGTTGAGAGGGGAGAAGGCACATTCACTCACTTCCATTTACGCCTTTTTTTCCCCAATGTTAAAATGCAACCAATTTCTTTTCTCTTTTCCTTTGTTTTTTTGAGATAAGGTTTCTCTGTGTAGCCCTGGATGTCCTGGAACTCACTCTGTGGATTAGGCTGGCCTCAAACTCATAGAGCTAGATCCACCTGCTTCTGCCTCCCAAGTGCTGGGATTTAAGGTGTGCTCCACTATTGCTGGCCTGCAACTGATTTCTTATTGTAAGTTTTCTTATATCTTATACCTTAAGACATAAGCAAGTGGCTCTGAATCCAGGTGATTTGAGTTAATATGAATAGAATGGATTCTCACACCAAAAAAGTATCCGGCTTAAAATATACATCACTGAAGAGCTAAGGTTGTCTAAGGTGAGGAATCCTGACATCAGCTTTGAAGAAGACTATAAAACTGTCTTTCAATGTCATCATGGATTTTCCAGTACACACAATTTGTTTGCCTGTAAGAATGACTGCTTTTATCCCCTCTACAGCCAGAAATACATCCTCTTTACCTTCTGGAATGTTCTTTTTGTGTGTTATGTATAGCATCAGGATAATTCATGAAAAAAGTCAACACCTTCTCTTAGCCTTCAGTGCTACTCTGACATGCCCCCACCCCACACTAATAGAATCCACAGCATTGACAGATACTACACTCAAAGGGGACAGAAACCCACAGCAGCTTTTAATTACTTTAAAAAAACAAACTTCTATTTAGAAAATGCATATGTATAAATGTGGATTCCATTGGGTAAAGTTTGCCCCCTTCCAAATTCATCTGGGGGAAAGTCAAAACATCAAAGCTTCTAAGATAGCTTTGGCCAGCTTCAAGTATACCAAAGTCTTTCATGGGATTAAACTAAAAGACAAAAAGTAAAGGCTACAAAGGCAAGAGAGTGACATTCCTAGAGGATCATGCTTCTCATTAGCAAAGTTTCTACTGTATTCCTAATGCATTAGTAGCAAATATGAGGCTATTTAATTTGTGGGAAACTTAAAACTGCTATTATAGACTGGGCACCATATGAGAAGAAGTCTGGAAACAAACTGTAGGCTAAATTATCCCAGGAATGATTAATGGCCTTAAAGTTAACAAAACACCCAAAAGCCCCTGCCTCTGCTGTCTTAACCATGATATGACTGGACTGGAAAGAGATGTAACTCTCTCCTGCTATAAAAATTCCTATAGGCAGATTCAGAGTGCAACCTCTGGGCAGAGGTTATAAGTACAGTGATCAATTAAACTGTCTGTGGTGGTTTGATTGAGAATGGCCCCCACAGCCATTCTATCTGATGAGTGGAACTGTCCAGGACGGATCAGGAGGTGTGGCCTCGTTAGAGGACCTGTGTCACTGGGGTGGGCTTTAAGGTTTCAAAAGTCTTTGCCTTCTAGTTAGTGAACACAAGTTCCCTCTCTCCCTCCTCCCCCCCTCTCCCTCTTTCTCTCTCTCCCTCTTTCTTTCTCTCTCTCCCCTCTCCCCCTCCATGTAAACTCTCAGCTATTGTTCCAATGCCGTTATTTCCCACCACGATGGTTACCAGCTCACCCTCTGAAACTGTAAGCAAACTATCAACTAAATGCTTTCTTTTATAAGTTGCTTTTGTCATGGTATCTTTTCACAGCAACAGAAAAGCAAGACACTGTTGAAGGAAGAGAGAGGGAAGGAAGGAGAGCCCCCTACTGGAAGAGTACAATCAAAGAAGCATGAGAACTTGCCAGAGAAGCTGAGGGGACAAACTAAGTGTCTTTCTAGCTGCCAGGTTCTCCTTGGTAAACAAAGCACAAACATGTACACTACTAAAGACCAATAGAGGATAATAGGCTGGTGTTGGCCTTTGTGTAAGCCTAGCAACTAGTCAGGCCCCACCCCTGATGACTTCTAACCATTAGGCTTTGCCCACAAGATGTTTTAATAGCCATAATTGGCCAGGCCCAGTCCCTTCAGATAGACGCAAGTGGCTTAGCTCCACCCTACAGAATAAAAAGCTCAAGCTCAGGACTTGAAAACCCTGTGCTTGCTGGCTTATAGCCAGGCAAGAAAACATGCATCCCAGGTTCAGGGAGAGATCCTGCCTCAAAGGAAGAGATGGACAGTAATAGAGGGAAATATATGACACCCTCTTTTGGCCTGCACTTACATAGGCATGTGAACCCATACGTGTATGCCCATACGCGCGCGTGCGCGCACGCGCGCGCGCACACACACACACACACACACACACACTCGCACTCACTCACACACACACCAGCATTGGGTGGAGACATACAGCCAGGAACACGACCAGCTGAAGCCTCTAACCAACTGATGCTTTTAATAGCCCACCCAGGACCACCTCCTCCCCAGCCAATTGTTGTTCCTTTCCTTGCTTCCGTGTTCCATAGAGCTCGTGCTGGATAGACATAAGACAGTCATCAGGGAAGACAGAGCCTCAACTGATAAAACAACTCCCTAAGATCCAGCCGCACCGCATTTTCTTCACTAGTGATTGATGTGGGAGGACACAGCCCACTCTTGGTTGGGGCCACCCCTGGGCTGAGCAAGCCAAGAAGACAAGCCAGGGGGCAGCACCCCTCCATGGCCTCTGCATCAGCTCCTGCCTCCAGGATCCGGCTTTGTTTGCGTTCTTGTCCTGACTTAATTCCACGATGGACGGTGATGTGGAAATACAAGCCAAATAAACCCTTTCCTCACCAAGTTGCTTCTGATCATGGTATTTCATCACCAATAGTAACCTTAATTAAGACAGAAATTGGTACCAGGGGAGTGGGCCACTGCTATGACAGACCTGGCCATGTTGTTTTTGGGAGGATCGGAACTTTGGGTGAGAAAAGCCATCCATGAGTGTTGAGAGCTTGGTGAGCTGTTCTGTGGGAGCTTAGAAAGACAATGCAGAGAGCGATGCAGACCACAGAGGCCGGGCTTGGGAAGTTCTAGAGGGAAGTTTAAGAGTCTCTTAAAAACTTTCTCTTTCAAAGCCATTTGCTATTCTGAATTGGGAGCCCATGGTTCTAGTTAGCTAAAGCTGAAGAATAGAATGTGATGAACAAAAGACCAGAACCACTAAAGTGCACCTTTGTGTTACTGGGACAAGTGATGCCGGTCGGCAAAAGAGATCAGCATCACTGAGGTGGATTCTTCTGGGCAATGTTTCTAGAGAGTCAGTGCACAGAAGCTGTGTTCCAGAGGTGGCCAAGGTTGTAGCTCACACTGGCAGCCGGACTTGATAACTGTAAGAGTCATCCTGGTGGTACTGGTTTGGAAAGCATGAAGGGAGTCATGCAGAGAAGTTAGCGCTTAGCACCCTGAACAAAGCCCAGGAGATGCTATTGGTGAAAACGCAGCCCAGTTGCAGCACAGACCCCAGCATTTTAGAGATGCCTGTACTACGCGATGACCACCAAAAGCAGCAGTGGTGTGGGTGGATCCTGCCCCAGCTTAGAAGACGAGCTGTGTGAGCTGCAGGGGCTGGAGCCAGAGAAATGACCCAAGCCCCTTGAAGGAGTCAAGAAGATCGTGAGTGAATCCCAGATATTGGACAATAAGTTATTATACTGTTGGAGTTTAGTTTTTCCTTTGTTCAGATTGTGACTGTGCCTTGATTCTTCCCTCTTGAAAAAAGGTATATTTCAGTTATTTTTTATTAGATAGGAACCCATGGTAGAGACTTTAAATTAAAAAAGAAAAAAAAAAAGTGAGAAATTTTAGACTTATAGACTTTAAAATCTAAAGAGACTAGATTTTTATTTTTTTCTAACAGAACTTTTGAAGTGTTTGAATTTGTAAGACTGTGAGACTTTAAATAAGGTTTGTAAAAATGTTTTATATCGTGCTATCTTTATTAACATGTGATCTTGGGGACAAACCCCCCCCCCCCACAATGGTGGTCCTGGGTTCTATAAGAAAGGAGGCTGAGCAAGCTAAGAGGAGCAAGCCAGCAAGCAGCTCCCTCCATGGCTCCTGCATCAGTTCCTGCCTCCAGGTTTCTGCCCGGTGTGAGTTCCAGGCCTGACTTCCTTCAGTGATGAACAGTGATGTAGAAGCATGAGCCACATACACCCTCTCCTCCCCAAGCTGCTCTGGGCATGGTGCTCCATCACAGCAGGAGCGACCCTGACCAGGACAAGCAGTGGGCACTAACCCTTGCCAGGGAGTGCAGGCTGCGGAGGAGGAAATGTCTCCTTCCCCAGCATCCATCCAATGTCTACAACAGTGCCTGACAGGCGCTGCAGACAAAGGCAGAACACGCAGCTCCGGCTGGCTCTTTCAACCTTCCACACTGCACATCTAGTCAGTGTGGCTTCCACAGAATTTTAAGAAAGAAAGAAAACCCTCTGAAATTGTAGCACATACTTGTGAGCTGCGCTTTCAGCTTCAGCTTTGCCTCAGCTAATGCAGAGCAAATTAACAGACAAGTCACAGGCAAGAGCAACAGGGCTTGGGAGAGTCCCCCAGTCAGTTCTATCTGGAGCCTTAGGCCAAGCCACAGACTGGCTTTCAGGCATTTTGTACACACCACACTGGTCCCTGCCAGTATTTATTCTTACACTGTGTCTTCTTATGTCCTTATTGAGCCAAAACACTGAAAATGTGTTTAGGGATAATCATGTGGCTTCTCTATTCTTCCTGTGATGATGCCACAGAGGGAATACACTTCCCAATCTTGTTGCCTTAAAAATCAGACCATGTACAAAAAATAACTTCCCAAGTACATGCCATGTGGAAGCGAATCCAGATGACAAGGAATGTTTCTAGTCTTTTAGAAGATTCCAGCACGACTCAGACACGCACACTCCACTGTACTTGAGCCCTCCCTCCCAGGAGGAGCACTGTCCTGCTACTTACAGTTTTAAGGATTTCAATTGCTCTTCCACACTTCCCGATGTGTAATCAACGACTTCATCTGCTCCAAGCTTCCTTACAAGCTCACCGGCATCCTGAGAGCAAACTGCTGTCACATGAGCACCCCACGCTTTCATTATCTACAGAGGGAAGGGCACAGCAGGGAATGTGAAAGAATTCTTTTTTAAAGAAAAGGTTGGTGCTAGGTGTATGCACATCAGAGTAATCTCTAGAGAACTTCTAGGTCCTCGTCTTAGCAAGCACCGTAGATATCTAGAAATATACACAGTGATCAGCTATTAGGTGCAAGTTATTACGAAAATATGGACACTTTCAGTTGTAGAACACAAATTAGGTCCTCTCCTTTGGAGTAAGAAGGCCTAGATAAATGGTCTCTTCATTTTAAAACACAGGTCACATATTTAAAAACAGACTCAATATAAGATTACATGACTCTAATGTTATTCAGATTTGAGTATCTGAAATCACTCTCTACTTTTTCTACAATGCCCATTTCATAGAGGTAAAGGGGACTACTTCCAGCCTGGTATCAGGCAAGATACTTCAAATGTATTAAGAAACTTGGTATTAATATAGACCAAACCAAATAGGGTGACACACACATGTACTTCCAGCATCAGTGCTAAAGGGACATGAGTGCTAAAAGGATCAGAAACCCAAGGTCATTACCAGCCATATAGAATGTTCAAGGTCAGCCTATGCATAGGACCCTATCTCAAAACAAAATTATTTCCCAAGGACTCACATGCCCTGAAAACCACTGAGGAAGGATAACATACGCAGTGTATTTTGTGTGTGTGGGGGGCCACAGACAGGGACTCTGCAGTGAAGGAATAGATTGCTTTCAACAGCAAGTCCTGAGTCAAAGTCCCAGGTGGAATCTAAGATGTCCATTTTTTCCCCAAAATACACGCAAGGCATTGTTGAGGAAAGAAAGTGATGTGCCAAATAGACCTCAGTCTATGTTATGCTTTTCTTTAAAGATTTATATTTGTTTTAAGCATATGTGTGTGTGTGTGTGTGTGTGTGTGTGTGTGTGTGTGTGTGTGTGTGTGTGTGTGTGCCACATGCATGATGCCTGGTCCCCACAGAGGTCACACAGGGGCACTGGATCACAAGACAAGAACTACAGACAGCTGTGAGGTGTGATGAGGGTGCAGGGAACCAAGCCCCAGTCTCTGAAGAACAACCAGGTTCCTGACCACTGAGCCACCCCTCCAACCCTATGGTTTATTTAACAGCATTAAATCCTCGGGAAGAATCTATCATGTAACAAAACAGCTCAACCGATTCCCTTCTAAAGTCTCGCTTTTCCTGACCCACTTAGAACTGTCAGGTTACCTTTGACTATTACTAAACAGTTTAGTGAAGAAGTTTTCATGTAAAATAAAGTACAAATACAAAAAGCACTTAGAAGGCAAATACCACTTAGATAAAGAAACAGAAAACCTGCAGCTGTTCACAGGTTTTTCTTCTTGTCCTGTCTCAAGACAAGCCCCTCTCTTAACCATCTCCTTTTTTAAGTCACTATTATCTTGATTTTTTTTATAGTAATCAATTCCTGACATTAAGAAAAAAATGTCATCTAAATATGCAATGCTCAGGCACAATATTTTGGTTGTGTTCATTTTTTTAAAATATGGGGTGGGGAGAAACCTCTTCTAAATCATGGGATACTATCCCTTTGTTCTCCTACAATTTATCTGTGGAAGAATCCAGGCCATTAGACCTGCAGAACCGCCCTGTCGTCTGGAACTAATGTTTGCAGAGGGCAGTTCCTATTGCTGCTGTGTCCTCTGCCTTTTTTCCTGCACCTTGGGAGAAGGCTGCAAGAGTGGATCAGGCGTCTTTAGAAAACCACAGATAGCGTGTGACACAGACAGAGGATCTCTGCAAGCCGTCAATGCTCAGGACTTATGCCTGCCCAGCGCTGGCTCAAGAGTAATGTTCGAGTTCTGTTTCTTTTCATTAGTAGTCACCCTGCTGCCTGACTTCCCTGCTGCGATGAACCATGATCAAAAACTTCCTTTCCTCCTCAAGTGCTCTTTTCAAATATTTTGTCACAGCCACAAGGAAGTAACCAAGACATACGGGCTGCTACTTTGTTAAAATCTCCTTGATAGTGAGTGCCCTTTGATGTACCAAGATTTTTAACTTGATAAACTTCAACTTCTTGCTTTTTAAATCTATTGCTTATGCTTATGTTTTTAGTGTCACATCTAAGAATCTGCTGCCAAATCTCAGGGGATGAATATTTATAGCTGGTTTCTTCTGAGAGCACTCTGATTGGTGCCCTTACATTTAACTCTGATTAACCTTGAGTTCCTTTTTTGTCCATTGTGTAAGGTAAGGATCCAATTCCTTTCTTTTGAAAGTGGATACCAAGTTGTCTCATCATCTGCTAGAAGGACATTTTCCCCTCGCCTAACCATTTTGTCATCCTTGTTTAAAATGAAATGATGGGGCCAGGGAGATGGCTCATCAGCTAAGAGCACTGGCTGCTCTCACACAGGACCCTACATCAGTTACCAGCTCATAACCACTATAATTCCAACTTCAGGGGATCTGACACTCTCTTCTGGCCTCCTGGGCATCTGCACACATGTGGTAAACACTCACATAGACACAAGACACACATAGACACATAAAATACAAACTGACCACACATAATCAGATTTGTCTCTAGATAGTTCTTTTTTCTATTTTGTTCTAGTGTTCTCCCTTCCCTCCCTCCTATCTCTCTCCCCCCTCCCCCTCCCTCCCTCTCTATTTAGAGAGATCTTTGTGCCACTAACCCACTATTTTGGATACTCTAGCTTAGTAGTAAGTTTGAAATTTGGAACTAATTCTATTCTTTTTAAAAATTTTGACTATTTGGGTTACTTTGCAACACCATATACATTTCAGAATAAACTTGCTTTATGGGAAAGAAGCAGTTCACATTTTTATTGGCTTTACACTGAATATGCAGACTGCTCTGAAAGTGCACTACCTTCTTAGAGGTATTCTGGCTACCATGTTTTTTAGAATTTTAGAATCAGCTTACCAGTTTCTACAAAAAGCCTGCAACATTTCTGACTGGAAGCTAGCCTCAGCATTTGGTAATGCTGTTTACCGTTAAACTGCAAACTTTCATCTCCAACGGCCACCGTGGTCTTCCTCCCAAAGGGCTTCATTCCACACACTCAGCTTTTCTACACTAAATGACTGCAAAGGTTAATATTTCCTTGTATGTTATCACATGTCCCTTTGGTTCACTAAAATTAAAAGGCATTTACTAGATACCTTACTTTCCACACTGACCAAAACCAATGTGGAGAGTAAAGTATTTCAGCTTATAGTCTATAGTCTATTATCAAGGAAGTCAGGGCAGGAAGTGAAGCGGAGGCCGTGGTAGATGCTACTGACTGGTTTGTAATCCATGGCTTGCTCATGCTTTCTTATGTAATCCAGGACCACCTGCGCAGGGATGGTGCCACTCACAAAGGGCTGGGCCCTCCCGCATCAAACTTGAATCAAGGAAACGCCCCGCAGACATGCTCACAAGCCAGTAGGTAGAGGCAATTCCTTAACTGGTCAAGCTGGCAAAATTAACCAGTACACTAAGCCCAGCTTCGAAGGAAAACTAATTTATAACATATGAAATTAAAGTTCATAGAAGTAAAAATATTCCTAGTCACAAGATTTAAAAAGTCTTTTACCTGTATGGCAAAGGTACCAACTCCACCGGAGGCACCCAAGATTAAAGCACTGCGACAGAAAACAAAATATAACCAGTGAGAATCTCAGACAGACAAGCCTGAGAAGCAGAACTTAAGAGGTAACTGCCTCACTGACAATCCCCAAAGCAAATAAAGTTATTCTTCTTTCCAAGATTGAGTTACACAGATTTCACCAAGAAGCTGCAAATACTTAAAATGAAACATTTCACAAACGGTTAACTGAGAACACAAATATCAGCATACTAACAATTCCCATTTCCTGGTAGTTTGGGTGCGTCTTTGTGACTCTGCTTTGCAATTTCCTTGGGCTAGTCACCACCGCCCCTCTGTGAGGAGGAACCTGAGGTGTTTTCTAATGCAGTTCTCTCAGGAAAGTCAATCCTGACCATATTCCTGCCAAGGTGGAAGGAACCCCCTGTGTTCAGGCATGTCCTGCTAACTAGTCAACTGTCAGAGACGACTCACCCTCTGTATGACTTCCTGTGGAAGGAGATGCGTGTCCTGGCAGCACAGTCACCCAAGCAAGCTCCGGCCTCTTACCACATCCACTCAGCGCCCTCCTGCCACATGGAACAGGGGGCTAGGTCTGGAGTCCATGGAGAGGGGAGTAGAGGTTAAGTATAAAGGGGGTGAGGGCTGAGCCTCTAAACACAATGCAAGGACAGGTGTGCCTACGGTACAGGCCTACCATCCACTCCCAAACAAGTCTGTGGTCTGAATGACAATCAGTGGTCATTGCCTCAGGCAGGCAGGATGGTTCAGTGGGTAGGGGTGCATATTATGAAAGCCTGACCAGCTGAATTCAATCACAGGGGGCGAGGAGAACAGACTCCTGGGTCCATTGTCCTCTAATTACACACACGTGCTGTGGCGCACGTGCGCACACGCACGCACGCACACGCCTGCGCACGCGCAAACACACACACACACACACAGAGAAAGAGAGAGAGAAGTAAAAATACTTGAAAGAATCACTGCTTTCCATACTTTTACATTTTATTCTGGAATGAATTGCCTCCTTGGACGGTACGGCTTCAAAGCCTAGGAAACTGTATTGAACTGCAGTTTGGTGCTGTGTTACCAATAGAGGTGTAGGGACACGGCATGATGGTTGTCTGGTATCTGATACATATTAACGTTACGGGAGACTGTTTCATGAAAACTCAGTGCCCACAGATGAACAGTCTTCTGAGACTAAGTGGTGGGAGTGCCGGCAGCCTGTCTGCCACTATTATTACACAACTGCTACTTATGGGCCCTTTCCTCGCTACCAGACAGTACAGAATTTCACCACCCACCGCTAACCAGCGCACTGAATCTAGAACACACTCAGTCTATAATCCTAACCCTAACTTCATTTTTCCTGTCCCTCAGTCGAATCAGAGGCTGATTATTATCATCTGTTATATGTTAAAAGTTATTACTATAATTTCCAAGCCAGCTGTTCCCTTTGAAATGCCATCAAATATAATTAACAGAAGTCTCCTTGCAAATCAAGTTCCTTCTACAAGTAGTTTCCATCGCACAGAATGATTAATGGCAAAGAAAGGAAGAAACTGGAGATGCCTCACTCCTCCAAACTCTCATGCTTTGTAGCCTTAGTATCTCCTAAGTGGGAAAGCTCCTGGCAGCTGAGATGGGCACACCTTGAACCCAGCACTCAAGAGGCTAAGGCAGGTAGATTGCAAGTTCAAGGTCAGCCTGGGCAACTCAGCGAGGCCCTGTCTTGAACCAAAACATGTAACAAAGGAAACCTGTCATATAGATCATGTAACAATTAATTTACCCATAAAACATTTGATGCTGACTTTTTGCTCATTATCTAAATTAGTGAAATTATCCTTCAAGTAACTTCAAGCTTTTCTTTTAATCTACATTAAGACAGAATGGGATAGGCATTTTATCAAGATTGTAGTTGTCTAAGGCTTGGTAATTTTTGAGTCAGGAGGCTATTTGTTTAAGAAAATACCTCTCTGGTGGCTTAAAGATATTTTCCTAGGGAAGCTGCAGGTCAGTGGCTATTATTCTTAGAAACACTGAGGCCTGGTGTTTTGTCTGCTTCTTGTTTTGTTTCTTCTGTGTAAGGGGACGGGGACAAACACATTCCACGCATGGGGATAAAGGAGACACTCTCAGAAGCTAACACGGGTGGAGAGCCTGTTGTCTCTCATTCAATGTGGGCACCTATTTCTACTTCGTAGGCACCGAAGGACAGAGACCTCCCGTCACAGCCCGCACTGGCAAACTATCCTAGACGCCAGGTCAGGGCTTGACTTCAGAAAAAGAATCTCCTCACTATCACACCCTGCAAGCAGCACAGTAATGGCTGTCACCTGAGGACGGGGGTCACCTGGCTACTTGACAGCCTGCATTAACATTTCTTCCAGTAAAGCAAAGCTTGAAATTCATTTCTAGGGGGCTGGAGAGATGGCTCAGAGGTTAAGAACAATGGCTGCTCTTCCAGATGTGTAAAATAAAAATAAATAAATAGTTTAAAAAAAAATAAAAAAGACTCTAGCATCTCCCCCAAGAAGACAGGGCTGAAAGGATACCAAATATAACGGCTGCCTGGGGGCCCAACTTCCAGACACATCTCCAATTCCTTCCTGTCAGCTTGTCTCTTCCCCATAACCCTTAATCTGAAGCAGCTTAATTTCCTAAATAAAACAGCAAAATTATCTCCCAAAAGGGCCAGATTCGGCAACCAGTGTCAGTTCCCAGTGCTGACACCTGAGGGCGCCCTGAAGTGAGAAAAACCAAGGAGTAGGCTCAGAAGTGCTGGAGACAATTTTCTGGCCGTGCAAACTTTGGTTTTGCATAGGGCCAAGCAGGGCCTATTCTTTTTCAAACAAAGTAAATCTCCAAAAGGACTGCAGGCAAAATGAATTCTAAAGCCAGCCATAAGCTGATGGTTCCTGTGGCTAACCCACTTTGTAGTCTAGTCCGTGAAGTACCTCCGAGCGCTAAGGCCGTGCCGGGCCTCCCTCACAGCAAGACTTAAATGCTGTTCCGGGAGGGGCATTTTCGGACCTTGATTGCTGTAATGGCCACACTACACATGCAAATGTAACTGGAGCTGGAACCTAGGCACGGCGACCAAAAGTGTGCTGTCTGTCGGTTGGTTTATGTCAGTGGTTCGAAACCTTCCTAACGCTTTAATACATCCTCACATCGTGACGACCCCCAACCATAAAACTATGTTTGCTGCTATTTTATACGTGTAACTTTGCTACCATTATGGCTCGTGATGTAGGTATTTTTGGAGATAGAGGTTTGTCAAAGGGGTCATGATCTACAGGTTGAGAACCACTGGTTTATATAGAGGTAGCCCAAGAAATATACTTGCAAGAGCACTTTAATGTAAAATTGCCCAGGCTTTTAGTACACAGCCGCTCACTTCCTAGTCCACAGAGCTTAAGCTGAAGACTGAGACTGTTCTAGTGGCACATCTAGAAAACATGGGAAAACAGGAATAATTATTATAATGCTATGCATTCTTCTTTGTTGTTGAGTCAGAGTACCAGGGAGCAGGCCTCAAACCTGCTGCTAGCTGAGGGTGGCCTGAACTCCCGACCCTCTGTCTTGGCCTCCAGAGCAGGCACATGCCACCATACTTGCTCTCTTAAACTCCAGATCCGAACCTGTGGTCAGGTCAGTTCTGTCTAAAGGTGTCTAAAGTCTCCTTAAAGAAGCATAGAGACACTAATGTACCACCGGAGTGGCGGCTCTGCAGTGAGGAATGCTTGCTGCTCTTCCCGAAGACCGCAGTTCAGTGCCCAGCACCCCTGTCAGGAGGCTATCAATCACCATGACTCCAGCCAGCCAGGGGTCAGACCCTCTCTCTCCCCCTCCCCCTCCCTCTTCCTCTCTCTCTCTCCCTCTTCCTCTCTCTCTCTCTCATGTTTGTAGTATTTTCAGGTATTTCCATCCCTTGTGATTGTCACAGGTAAGTAAGTGGGAAGGTAAGCTATTATTGTACCTCACATACAAAGATTTCATCAAGCTGACATTTCTAGGGCCATCAATGCCAATTGCTACAGTTCCAGTGTCTGTAACACATCCCCTCCGGAACTCAGATGCTGGTATCTTAACCCCCGAGTGAAGGGGCAGGAGCTGGCTGGGTCACGTGGGCAGAGCCCTCCTGACTGGTCATTCTGGAGGATCTTGGCCTTGTCAGCATGTGGGGATAAGCAAGAAGCAGCAGCAATGTCTGGACGCCAGAGGCTGGCCTTCTCCAGACATCAAATCAAGAGGGCCAGTTTCTTGATCTTGAACTCCCAGACTCCACTTTGTGGTATTTTGTTCTACAAGGGTGAAGGGCACAGGTGCCAGGCTCTCACTACTGGTTGCGACACAGGTGTCCTGCACTATGCATATGAAGAGAAGCTCCTGGTGTTAATTACTGAGGACCTTTCTCACAGGGCTACATCAATTAACAAATCAAATCTAATATCATATTTAATGTCCTTGGGGCTGGCGAAATGGATCACTGGGTAAGGTACTTGCCACCAAGTCTGACCAACCGAGTTTTGTTTTTTGGTTTTGGTTTTTGGTTTTTAGCTCAGAACCCATGTGGTGGAGAGGACCAGTTTCCACAGATTGTCCTCTGACCTGCATATGCATGGTGTGGTATGCACATACTCTCTCACACTCAAGTAAATTAAATAAAATATCACTTAAATTGTGCTTAAAATTTAAAAATATATAATGACCTTAAAAGGCAGAATTAACCCACTTCTCAAAGTTCTTCTCACAGTTTAGAATCTTATGATCAGACATTCAGAGGAAACAGCAAAGAGACCACACGTTAACAGCAGAAGAGAGTAGAACTCAGGACTCCAATTCCCAGTACCAGGCTTTAACAGACAGTAACAGTGAGCCAAATAATTACCCACAAGTCAACAGCAAACTGGACATTCACAGTGACGAATCTAAGGAAAATCAGATCAATTTCTGTACCTACATTGTTTTTCACAGTATACTAAAATACACTCAGAGATCCCCAGACCCAAAAGGAACACAGGCCTGTAGCTGTATCATTCACACAGCCACAAAGGCAAAATGAGTCTAGAATTTTTAAGGGAAAGGAACCAAGACAATAAAGCCTCCAATTAAGGTATAAAAATCTGGAAGATGTCTGCATGTTAGTAAGGAAGGAAGTCTGTGGTCATTCAATTTAAACTATGTTTGACCACAATGGCAACTTCGGAAAAGATAACTCATGAGAACTTAAAAAGCAAGGTTGGCCTTTAGAGTAAATGCTTGCCTTTAATTTAATCCACTGAGCCTCCTCAACAGTCCCTATGTGAACTTTCTAAACATTATACTGTCCTTATTAGTAACAGAAGCCACCATTTACTGAGTGCCACCAGCTTTACGTACTTTATCTCATTTACTCTTCAAAACAAAAGTCAGAGAAATCAATTGATATGTCATGCAGCTATGAAGCAGCAGAAGCGAACATGAATGAAAGGTAACAGCCCCTTCCCCGCAGTGCATTTCAGAACCACTGTGGGTATCTGTACTACAGACGCTTTATTAAGTAAATCAAGTTTATAACATGGGTAAAATAATAAATAGAAAATGTGTAAATTATAAAAAACAATCTAACAATATTCTGTAACAAAAGTTCCATGAATGTGAGGTTTCCCTCTGGATTCTAAACATCTGACTCTCCTGAACTCATCCTCTCAGACCACGGCTGAGCACGGAACAGCAAGGGAAGGAGAAAATACAGATGATGAGGACATAAACCACACACTGTCCCTGCAGCATCAGAACTGAACTCCAAGGAATAAAAACAGCCCAAGGAAACTCAAGAGTATTCAATGGCATTCTGTAGCCCCATTAAAACACACAAACCTGCAAGCAAGTCCTGGTGGTAAGAAAGCACCACTCTTGGTATGCTGCACATAACCTCACACAGGCATACATACGTATGAACGTATGTATGTATGTATGTAAAGAGTTTAAATGCCTAATATAGGAGACTCAAATGCCTAGATAGCTCAACTATATGTCTTTAAAAACCCGCCATTTGATTCAGCTGAGAATCCATAGAATAAGGCTGTAAAATAAAATGTTTCAAATGTTAGCCTAACTAGGCACACAGCTAATGGTAATCTAAACAAGCACAGATCTGCTGTGAAGGACCAGAAGAAGAGAGGGAAGCTTCAGATATCACCACTGGACTTACCGTTTTCCCGTGCAATTCTTGGCATTCAGACCGCCAACCTTGTTTATGGCAGACCAGGCTGTCAGAGCCACATACGGCAAAGAAGCGGCTTGAGTATGAGTGAGTGATTTGGGCTTGTGCGAGACCTACATTGAGAGACAATGGTCAAAACTAAACAGGAACTTGCAAGCCTACATACACAGCTAAGTATTTACCTTTATGCAAAAGCCAGAATTTTCACACAGAAATTTACAAAGTACTTCTGGGCTCAGTGTTTACTGCACACCCTATTCCAAAGTTGGTCTCAGAATAGTCTCCAAACAGCTCTTTACCTGTATCATAGAGGCTCAGGAATGCTTTGCAGGCTACATTATTAGATAAACCACTTCACTGTTTATTTAAAAAGACTATATATAGTAGTCACATTAGACCTGACTCTACCCAGAGATAAATTCAAATGAACCTCAAATCCCAATAAACACATTTTAATTCGTTTTTGAGATTAATTACTTCTTCAACTCTGTTTTCTAGAAAGTAATTTTCTAGACTTTTTTCTATTCTAGTAATTCCTAACCCTAGTAACTCCAGGTTCCCTCACTATACCTTTCTCTCTATTAATTGTTAGGTCCCTGATGACCTTTAATTCCTCCATGCCTCTCTCTTGGGTAGATTTGGTTCACACTGGGTAGAGCGAAGAGCACTGCAGGGTTCTAAACCTCGGCCTAAGTCTCTGCTCTGTGGATACAGATGCAGGCAGCTAATAAATAGCATCAAATAGTATGTACCTATCAAAGTTTCCTAGTCTTTATTTTAGCTCTTTCAATGTTGCCCATAAAACATGGACCTAATCTGAAAAACCACCAATGACTTTCGAGATGCCTGCCGGCCTTCCTTATACAGCTAAGCATTTTAGCAGGGATGGTGAGTTACCTCATTCCCACTGACCACAACGAATTCTGAGAGAGTGCCTTGTTTCCAAGGAGGAACTGCAGCCCAGACCTGGAATGCAGATGTGCATCTTATTAGACACAGAAATGTCTAAGTGTGAAGGCATGCCCTAATTCATGGCTACCTGGAGTGGGAAGGGCTCTGGTGCAAAACACTAAGCTTCATATGATAACAGTTCATTGCTGGATATGATTCTGGATTTATCAACTCAAACCACACTGGACACACATACTAATATACCTGCTGCATTCAGCAAGACTCTTCTGGGAATATACAACTTACTAGGGCACCCGGGGTGGTTCGAAGGAGAATGCCCCCATAGGCTCATATACTGGCATGCTTGGTCCCCAGCTGATGAACTGTTTGGGGAGGATTAGGAGGTTTGGCCTTGTTGGAATAGGCACGTCCTTGTTAGAGAAGGTGTGTCACTGGGGTTGGGCTTTGAGGTTTAAAATGCCACTCTAGGCCCCTGCCTCTTAGATCAGTGTGCAAAGCTCTCAGCTCCTTCTCCAGCACCATGCTGCCTGTGTGCCACCATGCTTCCCAGCACTTAATAGTGCTTCCTTTTATAAGAGTTGCCTTGGTCATGATGTCTCTTCACAGCAGTAGACTGACTAAGACACTATGTAACAAGTTGAGACCAGCCTGGATTACATGAAAACCAGTCTCAAAAACAAAAGCAAGAAAAGAGAGGGAGTGGAGGGGAGGGAGGAGGGAAAAGGGGAGGGGAAAGGGAGGAAGAGGGAAGGGGAGGGGAGGGAAAGGGGAAGGGGAGGAGAGGGAAGAGGGAAGGGGGGAGGGGAGCGGGAAGGGATAGGGAAGGAGAGGGGAAGGGGGGAGGGGAGGGAAAAGGGGAAGGGAGGAGAGGGGAGGGGAAGGGAGGGGAGATAAGGAAGAAGGATTAACTCACCTGGTCTCCAGGCTGGAAATACTTCACATCAAGCCCACACTCCATCACTACACCAGACACATCCCGACCCAGCGTCAGTGGAAACTCTTCTCCTCTGGTTCTCATATGCAAAGGGTCTCGCTTCATATTTAAAGCTGTTGCTCCATAACCGCCTACAAATGATTTTAAGATACAGTATGATACAGGTAGGTCGATGTCATCTGCTCAAACGTAGACTCTAACACAATAAGCTTTACGGTTTTGCTACCACACAGTGAAGCATAAAAACAACTGGGTGTCGTTCTTTAAGAAAATTACTTAGACAGCTGCCTTAAACTGATGATTTTCCTGTCTCAGCCTGAATGCTGGGATTACAGAGATGTGCCACCATGCTCACATGAAATTTTTTAAGAACAAGACATTTAGTACTAAGCCTGGTAAAGAAGACAAATGGTCAGGCCATTTAAGAATCCATACATATTAAAGTAGCTGATACTAGGCACTAGATTATGAGTTTGAGTTGTAGTCTCCATCTCCTAAAAGTGTATCTAGAACAGTGGTTCTGAACAAGTACAAAAATTTTTTAGTGGAAAAGAGCCACTGAACTACATCTGATATGTCTGATCAGGTCAATTGCATTGCAATATGTCTTGGCAGTCAGGTACATTGGTTTTGGAGTTTTGTTTGTTTTTAAAACAGAGTCTCACTGTGTAGTCTTGGTTGACCTAAACTTGCTATGTAGATCAAGCTGGCCTCACAGAGATCCATCTGCCTCTGCCTTTGCCTTCCCAGTGTTAGGACTAAAGAAAGGTGTGTGGTACCACACACAGGCACACATCTTGTTTTTAAGGACATTTACACAGATAGCAGATAAGTAAAGCTAAAAACCACTTGTTTGGTTCAAATAAATTAATTGCTCCTCTGCAATAATAATCCAAAGTAATAACTGGGCCTAGCTACTTCAGAGAAGTTCTGAAAGCCAAGGGAAGGCCCTTGAAACTATTTAATGCTGTTTTCAAATAAGGGACTCTAAACAAACTAAGTATAACAACACAGACAGTGGCAGAAGAAAGTAACAAAAAGAAATCACAAGGCTGTATGCTTGTGTGAAGGACCCACTACACAAGAGAAGAGAAACTCAGGAGAGTGCAGATGCCCCAGAGTAAGTGAGCGAGGGAGAGATCAAAAGGACAAGTGGGAAGTCCACCTTAGAGGGCGGGCACAGTGACAATCAATCTACACAGCAGTGAAAAGCAGGTAAGGAGGGAAGCTGTGCTATCAGGTAGGTGATCTGCAGAAGTTGTTTTTCTAAAAAAGCAAACAAACAAACAAACAAAAAACAAGGCACTTGGGAAAAGTCAAAGTTGGGATAGTTCCAGAAAATCCATACCAACCCTCCACATTTGCCATCTGGCTAGCTAGAACTGCACTGCATCACAGCACTGTATAGGAGACTCACAAAGGGCATGTGCCCATGTTTCCCGTCTCATATTCATTTCCCTCTGCTAAGACATAAGCAATTTACCTGCTGGATCCCTTTGTGGTTTGAGCAACACAAGTGTACATTTAGCCTTGTCACAATTCAGTTGTGAAGTTGCAAAAAGGGTTTCAGCCCTTTCTGTGGTCCCATTTTCTTAATAACCCTAATATGCTAATATACCAAGAGTAGCTAGACCTAGCTAACCTCATCTCTCACCAGAATGCAGCCAGATTTTGTGAGAAACTGATCCTGTTTGGTGACCAAATGGGGTTTATTAAGCTTGTCATCCCACCTGGGTGACACACACCTTGGGATAAAGGCAGGAGGATCAGGAGTGCAGGTCATCCTCAGCCACAGTCTGAGGCCAGCTCAGCCCACAAGAGACTCTTAGAAAAGACAAAAGTGCCTCCCTCTGACACAGGCTTGGCTTGTCCAGGGTTGGGTTAATTTAGAAAATTCCCCAACATGTCATCAATTTCAGAGACCTTAATCCCATCTAAAGAAACCAAACTTTGTTGAATATGCTGTTGGCTATATTATTTTAAAATTATTCATGGTCTTAATCATTCCTATGATTTATTATTTTATGTCCAACAGTAGCAACCATTTCCAGGAAAACAGCCTTTATCTGTGAAAATAGATGTGTCTCTTGTTTTCTTCTCAAGAGAAATAATTAATTAATTTTCTACTCAAATGTTTACCAAAGCTAACATACAACACTTTCTCAAAAAGCATCTGTGGGCTGGAAGATAACTTTCAAATAGTATTACCCAGTAAAGTAACAAGACAGTAGATCATCTCAAAAGTAGTCTATAAAGTAAAATGTGCTACAGTATTATATGCAATAGCAGCCTAGAAAGATATGGACACATTCTACAGAAACAAAGCTGTACACAGCACACATTGTGCTTGCATCTGATAAAAAGAAATTACCTTTGCATTTCTCATAAGATGTTATAGCTCACATAGTTCAGTGCTTTTTAGATACAAATGAGACTTAAAGTCAAAACTGAGAATTGCTACACTATGCAGTTTGACCTAAACATTTTCTTCTACCTTTAATTTGTAACCAGATAATACATACGTGTACACATATATGTACATATACTGAGAAATTAAGTTCATCACACATTAAGTCACATAGAAGCCCTTCAGAGCACTGACCCAGGGTTAAACATATGGCAGCTTCCTTAAACACCAGGAGGCTAAGTGCCTCGGAATTAATACTGATCTTAGTCATCTCAAAACATGTTCATCTTCAGAAGACACAGACTGAGAACCCATAGCAAGACTGACAATATTTTTTGTCAATTTTTTCCATAATTAAAGTCATTCATAAATACAAACCAATCTGTTCACTATTATAGAATCATAGTATAGGATATAAGGAATGCTCACCATTCCTTATATTATATATGCTTTCAACATGGCCAAGCAAGAGAAATTAGGATAACATACTCCAATTTCAACAGGCATATAAAAGGAAACACGTTTTAGTTATACAGTACAAAATGCACTATGAGAAATGAGAGAATACTGTGCCCATATCCTGGAGTCCTGCTCTGTTATTTGGTCCACCGGGCCTGTAACAGAAGCTCTGAATGAATATGGGAGAGCAAGAAGGATACAGGAATTATGAAATACAAATTCTGGATGAATGGGGAAGCATAACTGAACTCTGAAACCTATGCCTAACCCTAAAATCACCACCCAGTAAATTCACCGTAGGCACAATTCACACTTGAAAGGAAGCAACCAAACACATTCAATAAAGATTAAAGTATTCCTCTGCTACTGTGGCTTCAAAGTTTTGGAACTACAGGGATATTATCAAAAAAGTCCCGCATGATTCCAAATGGACTCTGCCTATAGCGGCACTTGCCACCAAACCTGGTAAGAGTTCAATTCCCCCAGCGTCCACATGTTGTCCTTTGACCTCCACTTGAGCACTGTCCCACGAACCCAAACGCAAAATAAATAAATGTAACAAAAATAAACCTGAATGAGACACTTAAGCCAACACTTGCTATCTCAGGACTGGAGAGGCAGGGCAAGGAAGAGCGCAGAGTAGAGACTAGTCTGCCCAATGCAATGAGCTGGGGGCCAGCATGGGCTAGGGTGTGAGCTCTTGTTTTAAATCACAAACAAACGAACCACACAAACAAAGCACCTGCACGCCCAACGAAATTCTGACTAAAAGTCTGGACAACTTACTTCTCATGTTAACATCTATTGGGTTTACACTGGCAGCATGGACTTTGATAATGACTTCGTTTGGATAGTGTATGATCGGTAACATCATGTTCTGATTGAATCGAAGAACTTCATTCTTCCCATATTTATCTATCACCCAGGCCGGCATGACAGTGCTCCTCGCGGGCGTAGTGCTAATCTCTCTAACTGGCCGCTTTGGGATAGCTTTGCTTCTCCAGAAGCAGGCGGCAGCGGCGGTGGCGCAAGCCCTTCTTCTAAGTAAACAAGACTTCAAAACTTCCATCCTGGTCAGGGATGAAGCCGCGTCCTCAAAACACACACGAAAAGAAAAAGGAAGAAAGGAACCACCGGGACTGGGTCAAACTAGCCCACTTCAACACTGCCAAATTCTGCAAACCCACTAGTCAATTAAGAGGAGGGGGAGGAGCTTCCAGAAACGAACTTGACCTAAAGAAGCAACGGAAGGACGAAACTAGAATAGCTACGCTCCCCACATCCGAAATGCTCCGGTTCACGTCCAGCCAGTATTCTGTGCATGCCCCTTCCTCCCTCTCACTCCCCTTCCCCTTAAACAAACAAACAAACAAACAAACAAAAACCCAAACAAGCAGGGACCCCTAGGTTAGGCGAGCGAACTGCACGTGCAACCGCCAGGCCGGCAACTGGAAACCTCCTGACTCGGGACGCGGTCCCCGCCTCCGCAGCGCCAACCAATCGCGTGCAGGGATCATTCCCGCAGCCGGGAGCTCGACCAATCCGAGCGCTCGGTGTTGGCAGAGGCCCCCGTGGGGTTCCAAGATGTCTGCGCCCATGTAAACGCCAGTGGCGCACGGCGACTTCTTCCTCTGCTCCGAGCCCCGTCCGGTACCGGGCTGAACCCGAGGATTATGCTGGGCCGGAGTCTGCGAGAAGTGAGTGGATGTGGCCCGGAGGGGACACGGGAGGGCGGAGGCGCCCGAGGGCTCGGAGGTCAAGGTCGCCCCGGGTCACCCACGCACGGCCCGGCCCGGTCAGGCAGCACACCGCGTTCCCGTTCCCGTTCCCGGGGTGAGGGCGTCGGGAGATGCGTTTGCACCGCCGAGCCGTGGGTGGGGGAAGTGACATCCGTCCGTCCCGGGCCATTTCAATCCCATCCCGGCTGTGCTCGTTTAGGGGCGGGGCGAATTTGTAGCGTGCAGAGTTCGGACGCACTGATTGGTGGCTTTAAAAACCTGCATTCTGTATGCTCATTGATTTACACGCTTGCACACACACATGCACGCACACGCACAAAAATAACTAACTAGGATTCCTTCACGCCTGGACATCACGTTTGAACCCCTGCATAAGCTGTAGGTAGCAACCACACACAGGTAGCAGAAAATTTGACAGCAGTTTTAAGGGGGCGGGGCTCGGAGAGACCGTAGCCAAAGGCAATTCAAAAATCAATCAAACTCGTTGTGAGTCTCAGGGTGTTTGCGACGGCGCTCTCCATTGCTTCCTCTCGACTTCAGAGCAGCAAGGTTCTGAATACTGTCTGCATTCCCCAGCTGATACTGCCTGAAACATCTCAACTCGCGAGCGAGACTGTTGTGTGTTAGGAACTGCGGCGGGGTTTGTATGTGTGTTGTGGATTGCAGTGGTTCTTTTATCCAAGTATATGCAACTTTTCTAAACGTAGAGAAACGTAGCCGTTTAACTGCAGGAAGCAGAAACTTTTAGTATCTTCCTAGATCATTTCTAAGCTTGCCATACCCTTAGTATGGAATGCGTGCGTGTGTCTTTAGATTTTGTTGTGTGAAGGTGCTTGATTATTGGCTTCAGTTTCACTTAAAATCATTAAGTGAATTTTTATGTGGGGTTATTCAGCTATTTCTGATACAGCCCTAAACATGGTCCCACCATTTTGTACAGGGCATTTATGCAAAGTGGTGTTCGCAGCACTGATAATTTTCAAAAAGAAATATTGGTAAACTGAAAAAAATTAAAAACATTGAAGCAGCCTACATCCTGTGGTATCGAAATATTCAGCCAAGATTTAATTATTTAAAAAATAAACAAACATGCATTTTATTGGTATGCAAATTTGTTTTAATCTTTAATGTATACCAAAGAATTTTTTAAATGTCTATTTTATATGTATGGGTATTTTGTCAGCATGTACATCTATCTGCACGCCAGAAGAGGGCATCAGATCCCATGGGACTACAGTTCTAGATAGTTGAGAGCTACTGTGTGTGTGCTGGGAATTAACTCAGGACCTCTGGAAGAGCAGCCAGTGCGCTTAACTGCTGGACCACCTCTCCAGCCCTCCCTAAATTGTTTTAAAAATAAATTTATTTGTGACTTGCCAATAAATGAGTTGTGTACCTTCCTTATATGTCAACATGCCAGGATTTTGCAAAATATCCCTGGCAGGAAAGGATTGTGAGTGGGAAAGGGCTTAAGAAGCCCTACCTTGGCTGACCGTGGGTGATGCACAGCTTAAAACTTGATCGACAAAGTGTGTTCCAGTACAGCCAGGACTGTTACAGAGAGAAGCCCTGCCTTAGACTCCAACTGTAAGTAGCTCTGGAGAGCTCTTACTGATGCCCCATAACACACTCTAAAGCAAAGGTGCCTTGTACCAACCCAGCAAGGAAGCAAACGCCAAAGCACAACTTTACCATTGGCCTGTAGACTGACCTTCACTTCCTGTGGTCATTAAACCACTAAGCCCTCTACAGTGTGTCCTGCCGCTTGATTATTTTTGCCCTCTTATTCTTCTTGTTTTAATATGGGTCATCTGACTTTGGTTTGAGGTCAAACTCTCTCAATCTTTACAACAGTCTGCATGCACATTCAGAATCACCTGGGCCTTGGTTAAAACTTGAACTGGTTCTCACTCTAGACTTAATTAGAAAGATCTGTGTGATCCAAGCCCAGAGTGTATGGCTCAGTAGGTTCTCTGGTTGAGTACCTGTCCTGCTTACTATTTCCCTTTTGTGTCTCCGTTTGGGAAGTCTCTTCTTTCTCAACTTGGCAGGGTTTCAGGAATTTTAAGTTGTAATGAGGCATTTAAATCCATAGGCTTTTAGTAAAACTTTTCTCCAAAATACATTTTTGTTTTACCTTCCTACATTGTATGTGACATATTCTATTGTTATGAAAAAAATTATTCTTTTTTTTCTTTCTTCCTCCCTTTTTGTTGTTGTTGAGGTAGGATCTTGTGCCCAGGCTAGACTTGCTAAATTTGTTCACTAAAGGGAGTGGGGGAATCCCCAAAAGTTGTTTAGGATAGCTTATAAAAAGAATGTGGCCTGCTTTTTCTCTCTTAAACCTATGGAGGAAGAGAGAGATGTGTGTGTATGGTACGTACCCCTTTTTGACATTGAATAAGCCATTATGAAAACATTTACTTCATGGGGGGGGGACCCATAACGGAAGTTGACCCAAAGAAAGACCAAGAAGTTGCCTTGACATTATAGCTTTTACTTAACTCCTTTAACAGATAATGCTAATTCCCATTGTATTCGAAGACTCATTGATAATTGTTTTACCAGGCAAAGAAGTGTCTTCTGTCTGCTTTGTAACTTATCCATGTTCCTGTTCTAATGCTCCAAATTTTACTAATTAGAGATTGATTAACTCAGTACACATTACTTTTAATGTGTGCAGATACCCAGGAATAGTGGAAGATTAATTCTCTTTGTTGTAAAAGCTCACCAGTTTAATCCAAGTTCTCTGCTTCCTAATACCGTAGTTGAGATAATTGATTAAGAAAGGGAAATTTTGTTGGGGTGGCAGTTAGAGTAAGAAGCTCGAAACTGTGATGAACATCTGAGGCAATTTAGAGGAACATTAATGGAGCTCAGAACAGCAGAAGAACCTTGAGACAAGGCACCAGAATGTAATGCTAAATAAGAGGTAAAGTCCAGAAGGGCTGGCAGCCACAGCTTCAACCTCAGGTGGATCTCAGTGAGTTTCAGTTCCAGAACAGCAAAGGCTGCACAGTGAGACCCTGTCTTAGGGGAAAGGTGTTTTGCAGGATAGTTATCAAGACGTATTTAGGATGGTTTGACTCTTAGCTTAGTCTATCATGGCTTGATCCCAGTTCTCTTGGCATTAGACTCTGGCTACTGCATTTAATCCAACCATTTGTATGGGTTGGCTTCTCAGGGTTCCAAACTAAAAAGATTTTGTATTAGTCAGTGTTCCACTGCTATGAAGAGACACACACCATGATCACAGCAACTCTTATAAAGGAAAACATTTAATTGGGGCTGGCTCACAGTTCAGAGTTTTATTCCTTTATCATCATGACAGGGAGCATGGAGACATGCAAACAGCCATGGTTCGGTAGAGATCTGCAAGTTGTGTATCTGGATCCACAGGCAGCAAGCAGAGGGTGGGTGACACTGTACCTGCCCTGGGCTTTTGAAACCTCAAACTACCCTAGTGACAGACTTTCTACAACAAGATCACACCTACCCCAACAAGCCCTCCTTTGGACTACTGCCACGCCCATTCAAATATACATGAACCTGTCATCACCGATTTCTTCACTGCTCTGTAGAGAGGTAGACCCCCAGTTTTAGACTGTTGTTCTTCCTCCAATATTCAGTGAACGCCTGTTCTAGGCACTGGGGATTGGTTGAAGACAGCCTCTCTGGTTTAGTGGATGATGTTTAATAGAGGCTAGGAAGGAAAGGAGGGTCTAGAAGAGCTGGGATATAATGTTCTGGACGGATGGGAGAGTGAGTGCACACCAGGAAGCCAGAGCAAGCCTGACAGAGTCAAGCCATGCACGGGGTCAGCATGCTGGGTGCAAATCAGTGAGGAGACTGGAGGAAGATGACGTCAGAGACACAGTAGGCCAGTGATGGGGTGAGGGATTTGGCTCCAAGTCCAGGAGAACCTCTGCACAATTTCAAGCTCGTGGATATGGTCTAAGCTTTTGGTAGTTCCTCCAGGCAAGTCTAGAGGACTCTGATCTAGAAGAGAAGTGTGGGAGCAGAAAGACCAGATGGAAGCCTGTTGCCATGGCAGTCAATGATGCTGGCAGCAGGGACAGGTCTGTAGCGATAGGAATAATGAGAGGAAGGAGTGTTTTTATTGTGAGAGGTTGCTCTTTGACTGAATGTGAAGTTTGGGGATGAATTAAGGAGAGAGCCTGGCATCTAGGGACATGGAAACACTTCTCACAAACTCTCAGAACTGTGAAGAGGCTAGGTAAGGAGGAGCTTCTCCAGAGTTCTGCCCTAAAGCTGTCCGTTTTCAGATGCCTTTTAGATATCTAAGTGAGGGCTGTGAAGGAGGCAGATAAAGAAACTTAGCTCT